ATTCTATATTTTTAATTTATTTAAAAAATTATATAATTATTTATTTTATATAAACACCCTTCCTCTAACAATCCATATGATTCTAGCTCCCTCCTTTAAAGGAGGTCAACTGTCCAAATTAAAGGTATTACATTGATATAACTTTTATGTAATTAAGATAATTAAATATAATTATTTAGTTTAATTAAACACAGCTAATAATTCAGTGACTATTAATTGTTACCTCCAATATTTAATTTACTTATTAGTTATTATTTTTTTACTCATTAAAATTATAATGACAAACACCCATTTAAATCTAAGACCTACGCCTACCCAACTCTCATCTTATGCCAACCCTTGCGGTTCACTAAATAGTTATAATGAGTACCAAAATGAATAAATTTTTCCTAATAACATATATTAGAAAATATTATATATTTATAATTTTTTTAATACATATCAAATACAAAAATTAAATATATTTAACAGCATGCAAAATTTATTTTTTGATAACTAAAATATAAATCAACATATATATAAAGTATGTAGTCAGCCAAAACTTTTAAGTTAACTACAAAATTTTGAATACTAATTAAAAAAATTAAAATTTAGAAAATTCTAGATTGGATAAACAATTAGAATATTAAAATATTAAAAATATCATTCAATTAAAATTTAAAGGGAAAAATAATCTGCATAAATTGCGAATATTAAAGGTTATAATGTCATTATTCAACTTTCATGTAATTAAGACAATTAAGTATATTTTATTATTTTAATTAAAAGTAATTAGTATTGTAATCACGTGAATTAACTAGGCGAAATTATTCCACTTATTAGTGGTCTAAAGGTGAAATTATTTCATTTATTAGTGGTCTCAAGTTCAAGTCTTAAGCATGTGTAATGAAAATTATATATTTATAAGTATTTTCAAATAAAGTTGCCAATTTGGGTTCGACTAACCTGAAAAATAAAGCTAAATTGGACCTTAAAAAATAAATTAAATAAAATTAAATTATTTTAATCTGATCTACTTAGTTTGGCAGGTCAAATTACCTTAAGTCGAGTTGGCTCACAAGCTTACAAGCTGATTGTTAAATTCATAATTGAAATAATTTAAATTAAAATAAATTGATAATATATGTTATAAAATAATAGAATAAAATATTAATAATTCTACAATATTAATATTTTTTCATTTTTTTTGATATTTACTTGTGCTTACATGTTTAAAGTTAAGGTTAGCTACTATGAGAATTTTGCCGCTCCCATAATTTCATTGTTCTCTTGATGAGTTGACCTTGTGACTTATCTTTTCTGTTCCATTTGTCGATGAAGTCGAAGATATAGTCACGCTTGTATCTGTGCTCACCGGGTGACGATAACAACATCACCACTTAAGGCACAAAATTTCAAGATGTCACTTCACTCTATAAGAAACTTTCTTTCTCTTTATGATATAAATTATTTTCTTTCTACTGAACTGTTCAAGTGTATTTACTATCTAAAAGGTATTTTTTTGTTATGATATTTTTCTATCTCATTTCAGTTATTATTTGTTTCTTTATTAAGTATTATTGGTGTTGTCCCTGGTTCCAACTCTTACCAAATACCATATATGTTATTTTATTTTTTAAGGTTTTTGTTGTGTGGATTGAAAATTGTGAATTAAATTTTGGCTTGTTATTACTTTTAAATTTTTTTTATTACTTTTAAATTGAACTTTGAATTATGTTGACTTTTTGCTTTATAATTCATTGTGGAAACTATAAACTAAATGAGTAAATTAACTTGTTTAATTTTGAATATTGCAGTCATGAATGTTGATGATATTTTTTATAATATGGAAGATGATTTAGATGTAATAGAAACTTCACCTAACATAAAGAGAGAGCCTATCATTTTTACTAATCATTATAATCATGTTATAATTTTTGTTTTTCTTTTTCATTGTAAAAAATATTTAATTTTTAAAATATATTTTTTTCATTAGGTCAATTTGGTTTGATGGTTCAACATTGATTAGGTTGGGCCATGAAATGGTAGCTCAAAATATATACATACATACATATATATATATATATATATATATATATATATATATATATCTTAGGCCAACTTAGCTTAAAATAGTATTTAGCTCATGTAAGTCGGGCTAATTCAACGTATTTGACATCTCTATTCATAAGTTTATATAAAATATGAAAAATCATATTTAAAATGTTGTCAAAATTTTAGTTTATTAATTATAAAATATAAATTAATATATTTTTAACACTTTTAATTTTCAAAGTTTTTTAAATTTAATTCTAATTGATAATAGATTTCTTTATAATTTGAGCGCATGCACATATACACATATATTTAATTTTAAAAATAAGAGAAAGACTAAACCATACTTTAAATCGTTTATCTTATTTATTAGATTCATTTTGATTATTTATTTTTTAAATTTTTTATTTTGATCTTTTATCTCCTAAATTTGAATCGATTCAATCACTTTAAAATAATGGTTATTTTATATTTTAAAATGTAATTTGTGATATTTTCTCTTTTGACTAATTTAAGACTTGAATTTGTCTCATTATATTTACTTATATAAGTAACCTCTTCACTTATGTGTGTGTGACAAAAATATTTCAAGCCCACAAATTTCTACTTAATTTTTCTTCGAATCACTCTGCATATGGAGAGAAAACAATCTTTAATACACTAATAGAAATTTTATAGTTTAATTTAAATAAATAGAATAATAAACAATCTCTTTTAGCAAGATAGATAATTCACATCAAACTGGTAGATGAATAAAAATAATAAATTATGCTCATCATTAAAATAAATAATAGTAGTTCAATCACTTCAAAGGTCTTACATATTAAAATTTGTAAAGAACAAACAACTAAAACTCATTTAAACGCAAAAAAATAAATCCAAGACTTGAGTTCGAATGTCGACATAACTCTATCAAAACACACACATGCATGCACACACACATATCCACATACACATATTCAAACTCATTTCAAGGATCACACGTATTCAAACTTATTTCAAAGATTTATAAATAATATGATATGCAAAATATCTCAATTGTAGTGTTATATGCATGCACTATCATTTCAAAAACACAATTATCACTTGAAAGCTCATAAAATAGGCTAGGATCTAGGAGTACATGCCAATATATACATCTTAATGCAAAAAGTGGATACAACAACATCATAAATTTGGACATCTTAATGCAAAAAGTGGATACAACAACATCATAAATTTGGTTACAAGATAACCAATTTTATATATGTGATGTGGTAGCACTTTTTGCATTCTCTCTTTCC